CGTTGAAGGCTGCGCAGTGCGAGATCCCGATCGTGTGCCCACCTAGTTGGCAAACATGAAAACTTCAGATCTCTGTAGCAAACCACCTGAAGTCCGATCTCTTAAGTTGAAGAGAGAGAATGCACCTGATAGAACAACAAGGTCCTTCACGCTCAATCCTTTGGATGCAAACATTGAGATCAACGTAGTGATGTTGGCGGTGGGTGGTGGCAGCTGTTTGGTCTCGTTGGCCATGGACACAAAGCCATCCCTTCGGCCAGTCGGCACAGGCCAATAGGGTCCTTTGCTCTGAGGAAAGATGGCCATAAGCTAAACAAATCCCTTGACGTTTACCGAATATCGGTTATAGAAAAAGGATGAAGGTTATCGTACCAAAACCACCGCATCCCTGGCGACCAAAGCTAGGATATCAGCGCAGGAGACGACCCCGGGGCAAGCTTTCTCCAGTTTAGCCTTCACTCTGTCAATGACACCATAGCCTCTGAGTGAGAGGTTGGGACGTGCGTCCTTCTCAGCTACATTTCCCTTCGTGGAGTTCAACAAGACTGACCCATCACATCCCTGCATGCTGAAAAGTTTAGGCAAAACACATTTTCGACGTTTCGATGATAGCTCAAAGTTGACATTACCCTTACGAAACAATCGTGGAAGTGCATCCTCAAGAGAGGACCAGCAAGGCTTGGTGCGACTTTGATGACTTTGGCCATCTCCTCGAACACGATAGATTCGGCATTAGGACACGCCTTGCTGTAGTAACCAAGACTCAAGCCCTGTGCCTCTGCTGACCCTGTGAGCAGAAGGGAGAGGGCCAAAGAGGCCAAGAGCATCGAGAGAGTCTTAGAGGCCATCTCAGAAAGCAAAGATCGGTTGGCTCTGTGATGCTGAAGCTATGAGGGACTTGGAGCACTTATATAGAGTGAGCCTCATGAGTGCTACAGCTAGCCTCTGCATGTTCACTTCTTTGTTTCTTACTTCATTACTCTACATCTTTCGTAGTTATGATTGGGAATCTTCCAGTTAGATATATCAAGTGACGTATAGCAAGTACAGTGAGCAAGGTTCCATACCATTTGTGGCAGGATTTAGTTGACCATGTTGGAGAAATATGTTGGCTTTAGCTAATAGTAATTGACTCGTCTGCTACTTTCAGTTCTACATCCTAAAGTTGAGAGAGTCAATTGACCGTGAAGCGTTAACTCTGTACATCTATTTACACATTCTTTAGAAGTAAAAATCCAACTTGGACAAAGCATACCATTTTACCGAGATAAGAGCTAAAAGGACCGACAATTAAGTTGCTATGAGAAGCTTGGGAGCTCTGCTCAGATGGTGAAAAGAAAAAGAGCTACTTTTGCCTTCTCTTCATGCAGCTTGGACAGCAACATTTGGATGTCTAAGTAGTTGTGTCACCACCTTTACCATAATGGATCACATGCACCAGAAGTTTCTCCAATCTGAAACAACATGGCCTTTAGCTCAATGCCAAGCTAGAAAACCAGAGGACTTCAACTACTACTTGCATAGTTTTCTCAGTAGGTGAAGATGAGGATTGGAAATAGAATGCTGGTTTATCTCCCAACCCAAGCAATGCCAGATAAGCTGTCTAACAAGAGTCCTTCAGTAGTTACCTGCTTTGAAATGATAAGATTATAATTTGGATGTGACCCACTGATGACCTACAAAGTATGAGGGATGCAAAAGCTTTGGTGAAGATATGATTTGGCTTTTCATGTTCATTGTTATCTGTATGGCTCTTAAGATAATCATGTTACTTATCGACTGAGAGATGCTGGTACAGCTTGTCTGAGCAATACATGATTTCTATGTCCTGCTTGACAAAATTTTTCTTTATCACTCACAATGCCTAGTAAAGTATTTATCTGAAAATTGAAGAAAGATTATTGAATTTGCGTTGCTGCAGCCATTAACTCCTCACATCCATTGCAAACACTGTGTCAAAACAAGTAAAAGAAGAAAAGGAAAGAAAAAGATGCTTTTAGGTGAAAAGAAAAAAAGTGTGATTTCTACAAATCTCTACTTGGTTTACTAAAAGAGGCAGCATATGCGAGCTGCATCAGACAATGCTTGTATGGACCCAATCACATGTCACCATTGCACTGGAAAAGAAGCACTTCTCTTCATTAATCATTTATTTGAGATCATATGACATATGGCAAATTATATCTAATGCAAATGGACTTACCTAAAGACCTTTGGATTAGACAGAAGTGTTGCTAAAGACAGAGGTAGGTGACACAGGCTGCTAAGAACATGCTGTTGGCCGGTGACATGAGATGGTTTCTTTCCATCAACCTAACTGCAACACTAAAAGACTGAGACAGTTGTTCCAGATGGCTATCAGACAATACTAAAAATTTAGATGTCGGCAGATCAACTCAAGAAAATTTTACCAAGGTGAGTTTATTTGCTAGTAACCTCAAGAATTCGCATGTCGTGAAGAACATTTGGCACCAGTGGCTGTCTTTGATTGTTATGTCGCATACTTTAAGTATGGAATTCAGGTAAATTTGAGTGAAGTTTTGCATAGTTTAGCTTAATTCAGTTCAATAATTTGGTCAGCGTAGGTCAAGCGACTCGCATCCAGTATAAGCCCGAAAAAACACCAACTTTGGTCGAAAAATGTCTCGATTTGGTCTAGTTGGATGACACAGAGTTGAGACATCTTCAGTGGCAAATGCCTTGGAGAATTAGACGAATTAAAATTAGATATGTGATCAAGTCAACCAGCAATAATTTAGAGGGCAAGAACTGTACTTTGAATGGAATACTGAGGGTGAATAGTTATGTACATTTTGAAAAGCCAAGTAGCTCATTATACTAAATATTTGGGTCAAAGGACCCAATGAAGAACATGAAGAAGCACCAAGGCACAACTATGCCGAAGTTTCTTTCTTCACTTTAAATTTCTTTCAAAGAAGCTGCTTAGCTACTACTCTCTTCCTCTCTCTCAAAAAAACTGCTTGACTTCTTTGTATACTCAAAGGCAGTTTTGCTTGTCTAGCAAAGACATGTTGGGTTATGAAACTTTTTAGAAGTAAGAGATTCTATATATGGCTGGCCATGTGAATATATAGTTGGCTTGGTCTCTATCTGTTTCTATATTATGTTATAATTTTGATTTATGGAGTATTAGTTCTATATTGAAGGAGAATTTAATTAGGGAGTTTCTTGGAAATCTCTTCAATTACAAGGCATGAATGAAAATGATTAAATAAAACATAATAGAAAACATGCTCAACTTTATACATTTTTAGGCCATGCATGTATAAAGCATAAACAGCTAATTTATATGAAATTTAGTGAGTAGGAAGAACACTAGCAATAAAATGAAGCCTACCAAGTACTGCACAAACTAAAGGCACAGCACACTCCTCTGGTACTCTTTTCCAGGATCCTTTAATGAACTATTAGCAGCTTCAGAAGAGGTTAAAGCAACAGAGATTTCTCAGATTAGGAGGCTGAAATCATGCTAGACTTCTAATTTAATAAGCGACTTGTTGATCAACATCATATCCTCATTAGATATTATGAATTTGGCTCAGCTGACCTGCCTCAGAATTTGGCACTTCCTCGCATATGCTGCAAGCTCCACTAATAATGGAGAACATTGAGCAGAAAATTAAGGAGTTGACTTGGAAGGTGCTAAACTAAGGACAAGTTGCACCATCCAATATAACGTATTCGAGACCTCAAATAAGATGACAAAAAAATGAAAATAAAGAAATGATATTTGCTTAATTGTTCTTCTACGTAGTAGTATTCGACTCTGCTGCACTACGCTTGACATGTCAAACAGAGTATTTCATTTCACTGTCTTTATCTTCAACACTTGTCTACCATGAATGAAATCTTTTCCTGGCTTTTTCATCTCAACTCCTCGTGATTGTGCTGAAGTAATTAATTAAAAGATTTTTTAGAACATAATAAGTGCATTTCCAATTCAGATGGGAGCAAAAGTGGAATAGTGCCTGTACATCTATGCTCGATTCCAAGAACGTATGCAACCACAATAACTCATTGATCATCATGGAGCAACTGTCCATGCACTGGATAATTGTTGGCCCAGTGTAGCAGTATCTTTGGCTATGTAGCAGAGATCAATGAGTTTCCAAAATCTAAAATAGTAGTTGGTTGTTGATGTCGGATGGTCAACTCCAGCTCATTCCATCATTTTCATGAAATAATAGGAAGATAGTACAAGCGATCCAATGGAATTGGAACATTAATGCGATAAGGGTTGACACTTAGTAAGATGCGGATAACATTCTCAAAATCAAATCGAGATTTCTTATAGACTTCCATTCTCTTTCTGCTTCTTCTTATATATGTTTCCGGAGTAGTTACTCCTTTGACCGCACAAAGCATCCACTGCATGCGAGGAACACCTGTCCGCTCTCCCGTACCACTATTCCAAAAATTGGAGTCGACCATCTTTGCCTCGTAGTTGGAGTCAACCAATATCTCATCTGTCATTCAAATCTCACTGTTCGTGTTTTGCCCATTTGTCCATTTCTGATGCTTGTTGCCACTTCTTGTGTTCATATTGATGAATACTTGTGTCCATATTGAACAGGAACTATTCATTCTTGGGAAAAAGGCGACAGAAGCTGGGTCATTCCTATCTGATTTCCGCAGCAATCCAGATCTTCCGTAAGTGTTCACACCTCCTTTCTCCTATATAGGAGGAGAGTGACACAGAATACTCTCCTTCTCTCCTTTTGCTTCCTTCCGTTTCGCCATCACCTGTATCATACTCTCCATCGTTTCTTGCAGTAATCTATTCTTCATGTCGTAGCGAGGAAACAAATAGATATCCATAGTGAAGCGATGGCCAAAACTGCGCACTTGGTGAGTACTCATATAGGTACTTCAATCAGCTGCTGTTCCAATGTATTCTGTTGTACCCACTCCTCCCAACTTATTATCACTGCTTCGACTCGTCTACGAAGAGTTCTTACGAGCTTGCATCGACCCGAGAACTGAAACCGGATACTTCAGAGAGGGAGACGTTCGACTGCTTCGTTGCTGTTGACGTCGATGAGATCTCTCAGCAACTCGTAGTAAACACCAAGGGTCATTCCAGTTCAAGCCCACGAGTACTCTTCCTTTTTTCCTGTTCTTTGTCCTCTACGATTTCATGTTGATTTGGTAGAAGATTAATCATGAATGTTTATTGACGATTTAACTCATCGGGATCTGGTTTCTAAAGTTGACGAAGAAGATTCCTTCAAGAAAAGGATCACATGGCAGCGGCGTCGAAAAAGAGAAGAGCAAGACTGTGGAAGGAGAGGAGCTTCCTGGCGCCGGTGAGTCACGACCCGACTCGTCCGGGCTGTGGACGCGTGCGCTCGCCATCGGACTAACGTAACTGATTGGGCTTTGTACGATGGATAATCGCGCAGGTGGGCACGGATGGGCCGAGAAGTCGCCTCTTTCGGTACACGTGGCGATGGAGGGTGAGGCAGTCGGGATTCCCCGTGCGATGGCTCCGACACTGGATGGAGCGAGGTGGAGGCGAGTCGGCGCTCGGCGTCCAACCTCGCGATGGCTCGACCCAAGCGGAATCGTTGTCGTCTTCGCCACCTTGTAAGTTTATGACACCATCTGTTTCTACAGAAAAACTAGGGTATTTTTATGAACGAATGCGATTCTCCCTTTTAATGCTTATTATACGAGAGAAATAACGATCAATAAGTTTCTTATTATTTTAACAGTTTGGTCGCTAATAATCGTTCACTTTTCATGATTTCTAGTATAAACTTAGTCTTCTCCAATGCCAATCTCTTGTAATGATACCAATATTAATATGGCTTTAAAACCATGTCGTCATAGTAATGGTAGGTGTCGATGGTGACACATTTCCACGAGTATATGAAATAGTTGGATTACTTGCATAAAACGGCAAGAAGAACGAAGGAAGCATTCTTTGACTAAAAATGGGTCCTCCAATGGTGACAATTTGATGCGTGGGGGTCTCGAATGCAAAAGGGAGAGAAAGTATGCGACTATGATGCAAATTCAACTTTCTTTTAGTTAAGTTTCTCGGCTTGCATTTCAAGAAAAGAGTTGTTCCATGTCCTTTCTTTTTCCTCCTTTTAATTCCCTTAGGTGTCAAGTCACCCTCAGAGGGTGAAGATGGTGATGCTAATGGTAGAAACTTGGACTTAAAAGTTTGAATTATTATTATTGATCAGATAGATAGCCTCGAGTTGTACTTTCTTTTGGATAATGTTTGTATCGGTCACATAGATAGCGTTGGTAGCAAGAATTAGAGCTAATAGGAAACATAGTAAAGCAGTAAGAATTGGATTCGGTGATTTAGATTTTCGATGTGTGGTCTCATTTGTGCAGGTCTTGTATGGGAACACTGATACTGCTATACCTCACACTCTCCATGGGCAAGATGAACCGCGGTAATGAAACTGCCCGGTGATGTGATCCTCACCGCCACCACCACGGGGTGAATTCAGAGCACTATGTACTGCTCAAAAGACGGATATTTTTGACTGTAGTCATGCTTTGCATCTTCTCGATCCTCCCTTATAACAAAGACAAAAGAACATGCAGAAGCTGACAAGAATGAGACTTCTTGAGTCGTAGATAGATACATAGATAGAGGTAGCTCAGTCAGCATGTTGTGGGATATCACATTTTCTCTTTTCCACAGATACTTGGTTTGCTTTCCTGAATGCATTGCACTTTGGCTTGTTCTACTACTCCGCCGGTTCCTAATCTTGTCGGAAATGCGTGTTGTGGAAGGTGTGTGGAGGACTCAAGACAGACAATTTGATGTTGATGGCATTGCATGTTGTGAGAGGCATGTGGAGGAGGTTCAAGAAGTTCCAACTCTTCTGATATGCCCAAACAAGTAGAGAAGAGAAAGAAGTCATGTCAAAGTTATCTAGTATTAGTTGATTATTGAATTTAATACCATCAAACTAGCTACAGGAATTGGCAGTAAGGTATGAACCATCAAAGAGAAAATGATCTGCACACAGATGAGCCAAAGAACATGTCATGGCACCGATCACTGTTCTTTCCTTGCCAACAGAAGGCGTATATTTTTGTCTGAACATAGAGAAAGGGTTGGGGATCATACAAAACATTAACAAACTACAGATTTCTAATTCTTTAAATTGAGCCTCTTATTTTAAACTGAGACAGCCCAAAATTGATGCATGCAACAAATATCTGTTCAGAGTGACAGAGAACAATTGCACAACTAAAGCACGCAAAAATGAAAAGGGCATTTACAGTAACTTTGGTTCTTCTTATCCAAAGAACCAGAGGAACCAATCCTTTCTCCATGGACAATTCCTTCCTGGGGGTCCTTGATTGTTTCCGGAAGTCAAGAGCAACAGGCCATTGGCACGAAGAACGACCACCACTTCCCTGTAGCCCGATCTCCGTTGCAATTTGTCCCGTCAGCTGCCTGATTGTTGCCACTTGGGCAGCTGAACAGAGACCGTGAAGATCTACTGCTTGCTTGCTTCGAGCTGGACTCGGCTGTTGGGAAGCAATTACATATGAACGGCGGACAAGCAAGCGATCCAACACCCTCGGCGTGGCCGCCATTGGTTTCGAGCGCCAAGTCTAAACCATTGACCTGGTTCTTCTGAGAGTTATTCGGTACAGATCTCGGCAAACTTCCATTAGCTGGGGGACCAAGTGTTGCTTGAGAACCATCAGCTGAAGACAGTGAGGGCTGAAGGGTAACTGCTTCCCTGGTTTGCAACGTCGTCCTCGCCGGTCTGGAATCCTCTGTAAACGTTGAGCTGGATCTCGCTGCCCTCTTGGTCTGCCGCAGCTCCTGTCATCTGCTCAACTTGTTCTTGCAACACCTTCTAGTGCAGCTCTTGTCATCTGCTCAATTTGTTCTTGCAACGCCTTGTAGGCAGCTCGTCGACCAAGTCATCGGCGGCGTAGATGACATTCCTGAACTGGATCATTAGATCAGCAGCGAGCTGGGTGGTGGAAGCCTCTTCCCCGCTGTCTTGAGCATAGAAAGCTGTAGTGTCTGGAGCTGCTGTTGAAGGCTGGAGAACGGTGGGGGATTCTCGTTCACCAGCTTGGAGGCCAACCGGTGGAAGGTAGAATGAAGCGTGCGAGGTGCGAACATTCCATACTGCGGTGACGGGTGAAGCAGCCATATGGAGGAGCAGTAACTTCTTTGTCTGGAGCAGGAAGAAGAAGGGGGTGGGAAGGGGGGCGGGGGGCCAGAGGTGGAAATGGTGGCAGAACTTGGTGGGCAAAGATGGCCTCTGTCTCCCTGCTTAGGAAGGTAAACAGGGAGGAAAGAGAAGCCCACTCCATAAGAAGGTTTTGTAGCAATAACAAAAACCAGTAGAGAATGTCCCTAACAGTGTCAAAAAAACCTAAATTTACTATCAAAATACACATAACAAGTTCTTCTTAGTTTTATTGGAACATTGGATTGATCAGTGTATTTACGTATGAATGTCATATATATTATTTGATATAATATAAATTTTAATTTAAAAAATAAAATAAAATTGGATATTTACAGCCTAGCCTCACAGGAAACGCCGGCAATTGATAGGAATCATTGCCAAGTTGTTGTTGAACAGCAAACGAATAAATAAAAGAAAAAAAAATTGAGAAGAAGATGAAGATGAAAAAGGAATTTTATGGATTAGATGAAAAGGTATCTTTTTATATATGTTAATTCTAATCATAATATTTCCTTTTGTGTTTATAGTTTTATAACTTGAAAGGTATAGTATTTAAGTATTAATAGGCATGAATTCAAGATTAAATATTGGCATGCAAAATAGAGATAGATTTTGGGCCAAATAAATTATGTCGACCAAGATCTAATATCAGGACAAACAAATTACAAGTTTATTACTGGTTTTATTCCCTTCAATCAATCAATAATGTAACAAGACAATTTTTTTGTAATGGAAAACTGCATGTTTGTTTAGTTCCGTCCTAATCCGAGGAAAGAGTCATGAATATAATAAGAAAAGGAATCTTGACTTAAATTTCTGTCGTCCACTACGGATCTGAGTAGGATTGGAGAGAGATCTTGTGATCTTTTGACCTCTTATCTCGTTCCTCTGCATGGCTTCACAACATCACATTGTTCTTCCTCGGAGATAAAAGCTTCGAGATCTTCGATTCGTAAAGAACTTAATGTCTGCTGCTAAATCGAAGATGTCGAGTGGTTTGAAAGCTTGGAATGGGAATTACAATGAAAGCATTCAAGTTTTGAAGTCAGGCGAGAATTCACAAGCTGTTCTTTTTACTTCAAGTAATTCTAGCCAAAACTTACAAGTTTGTGAATGAGTAAAGAAAAGAGCCAGGAATTACCTGTGGCACCTGCTTCCAGGGATGCTTCATATCATGGTCATATCGATCCGATGATTCTCTCTTTCGCATATTTGATACGGCTGATGCATTCATTACTGAATCCAACGCCAATCCAACACCGAGGTCAATGAGGTAACATGTCGAAGGATGCATTCTTTTCTGTGGAACGAAGATTCTACCTACGGTCTTACAAAGTTTGGCAACAATCGCAGACCTCATTTGGTTTTATCTCCTCCTACAAGTGATTATGAACAGCGACTGAGAAGTTTTGTTTTATTGTATAGTTCCTGCGAAATCTGAAACAGGTTGTGTACGTCCAAATATTTATCGAATACTACCAATTTATTCATGTTGCCTCCTCCCCAAGTAGTACATCTTGAAGGTAGCTCAAGAGGTTTCTACCTCTGTTTCTTCCATTTACAAATGTAACCTATAGATCTATCTGTTTCCTGTCAACTGTTTCGAGGATCAGATGACTGCAACACTTACTATTTGGACTCTAAATATTTAGCACTCCTCGAGACTATGGTTTGTCGCAATTTTAGATCTATAATTAGTGGCCAAAAAGCTAAAATTGGCACTCGGAGAAAAGAGCTGTGGAGGGAATCGCTGGATGTTTCATCTGCTTCAGGCAAGAAACCTTGTGAGCCCAACCTTGTGGCCCATTCGCCTGACGTCTTGTTGGACTTGTTGTCGGTATTCCCCAAAGCTGAACTTCCTGTAGATGGCCGGCTGTGCGCTGCTCTCGATCACAGTTTCGTTGGAGGGGCACATAAAGTAGGCCACTGAGAACCTCTCCAGGTGTGGGTTCGACATGACCCTGTGCTCCACACTCTTGTATAAGCCATTGCTCCATGCCTGCATTCCCATAAAACACCAGGTCTCCGTCTCGGTCGAGTATTTCATGTGTCAAAAGCACTTGGAAACACTTACTTGCAAGAACTATTTTCTCACCTGGAATAGATCGCCGATGTTGATGACGAGCGTGTTAGGATTAGGCCTAACAGTGAACCATCTCCCACCCTTCTTCAACTGCAGCCCGATCACTTCGTCTTGGCACAGGATGGTGAGGAAATCACTGTCAGTGTGAGGAACCAATCCAAACACTTGAGCAGGTATTGGGCATGGCGGATAGCGGTTTAGCCGTAGATAACACATGTTACGTGTGCAGTTTTCCTTCATATATGTGCCATCGCGTCCAAATCCTTCCGCAAGCGTATCGACCAGTTGAGTTGCCAGTTGGGCCATCGCCAAAGAAAGTTCTTCTATCACGCACCTGCGTTGCAAGATGGCCATTTGAAGCATTACTGAGGGTGTCATAAGAGATATGCAAAGTAACTTAACAGATGTGGAAATAAACTTAGGGTTCACAAGAGATATACACAGTCAACCGAGAGATCTATGAGGAAATCCAAGCTTAGCAAGAAAACCATGTAATTTGGCTGCAACACGTCATGTATTATCTATTACTCCGTGATATAAGGAACATCTTGTGAAGTACCTGATCGTGCTACTTCTTGCAGGCTTGTTTGACGAAGATAAAGGAACATGAAACGCCTCCGACCACGACAAGTGCTTCAGGCTGGTCGCCGTGGGTGTCCCCCACCGATAGCTGTCGTCGGAGAAGTCGAGGAGTTTCTCGCTGGTCTTCCGCTTGAACGGTTGACGAAACATCTTAACCTGCTCCTCTCGCAACCTCGCCAAGAGACCGTCGGGTATGCCGTGGCTCACTATCTGGAAGAAGCCCCACTCGGAGGCGGCGGTGACGATATCTTGCTTACATTGCGCGGCCTCGAGCACGTCGTGTAGACGGCTGAGATCGATGAGCGGGAGGTCGCAGCACTCCACCACCTCGGTTTCAGTGTCAATGGCTTGTTGTCCGCCGAAGAGGCTCTTGTAGGTGGCTAAGAATGGTGGACTGTGATCCATCACAGGAGCAGTGCGAGCCTGAGGGAAGGAGATGAACTTAGTGCCTAACTCTCACGAAGAAGAAAACCAACAGGCCTTCATGTTTATATAGCCATGAGCTCAGGCCTCTGATGTTTAATCCAATGTTGTCTTGCTTTTACTTTCAAGGTAAAATTAATTAAACTCTGTTAAAAATATGACTCTAAATCATACCTTTGAGTTAGGATTTTGGATAAAATAGCAATAATAACTAATTTAAGAATTCTTTTCGAATATCTCTGGCTCACACCTTCCATAAAATTATATCGGCATTTAATTTAAGTAAGTCATCCGTCATCTACACGAGCCTTAAAGCCCATGCAGTAAGAAATTTTCTACGAATTCAAAATTTATGTATTGAATTTGAGCCATCTGTCATGCAGGTGTAAGGAGAATGTTAAAAATATAAATGATATCTCATTTACAGGCTTAAGTTCACTACTCGATAGCTAATGATGACCTAACGCAGGAATATATGAACCACTATCACATCTTCATCACATAAATGGAAAAGTAAGAAACAGTGTACTCCTCAAGAGAAAGAAACCCAATTCTAGAACTTCTTCCTGATGACATAAACGGAAATGTAAGAAATGGTAAAAGAAACCCACTTCTAGAATTTCTTCCATGTAGAAAGAAAGAGTTATCCTTTCTTGTGCCTTGTCCGGTGTGAACACAATGGCCTTTCTCTTTCTGATGTATTTAACATCAACGTTCCAGAGTTCGCTTGAACATTGGGATAAGGAATTTTGTATCCCTTAAAACTAATAATTGTTTTACTTGAATATATACGGTGTAATCGGAGAGGAGACAAAAAAAAAGAAAAAGAAGGCGTAAGATTTTGGGGAATTGGCTTCATCCGCATGGACAAAGCAGCATAAGCATCTCCGTGTTTGGAGGGGGCGGCGGGGCGTGATTTTGGAGCATGCCACCCTCATAATTGTCGACCATCGTTTCTGCCGAACGCTCCACTTCGAGGCTTTCTGCGCCCAGAAGCGACGCAACGCGACGTGGGACTAGAAGCTGCGGCCGTGGACGGACATGACCCATCATGCGACGTCTCTCCTCTTCCCCGACTCCATCGCACATCAGTCTCTCCTCCTTGTATCCTTGCACACCCCCCACACGCCCACGGCCACAAGGTGTGCTGGCCATACTGGCCACATCCCACGTTGCAGCTCTACCCGGTTTGTATTCTTTCGTAAATTTGTTTTGTTTTCTACGTTCGAGGAATTGTCACGTTAGGGACATGGATGCTAAAGATCTGGTGAGGGTAATATCCTTTTATGATACCAGTGAGAAACTCACAGCTTTGATGTAAGAAACGCTATGCTGGTCTTCACCTAATCCGAAAACAAAGACGGAAAGTAGGGAGTCGATATCATGGGATTGTTATGAACATTGGGCCACTACACTCGAAACAACAATCGGAAAGAATTCTCACCGGCAATAAAGATTTGGAAATAGTTCTACAACAAGTTTGAACAGGTCGGCAAGAAAAGCCAGTGGCTGGGTTGGCACTTCTTTTTCAGCCCAGCCATCGACACTACGGGAATCGTCATTGTCTAGCTAAGAATGAAGACTTGGCATCTCACCCCAACCATCAACACTATGGAGAAGTCATTATCTAGCTAAGATTAATGAAGCGTTACGCTATATAGGTTCGACTTTACAAGCTTAACAAGGATTCCAGGCGGTGTTGTCTGTCGATGTTGGAGAACTCCGTGTGTGGATCTCACTGCAGCAGGTCATTGAATGACCACATCAATGGGCGGAAACGTTTGCCATGGTGTCCCACGGCACAGGAATAGAAAGGGACAAGGAAAAGAAGACTACAGTGAGTTGATATTTTTATGATCCAAACCAGTTTTCTCTTTGACAAGGACGACTCCACATGTAGTATCCGAACAAAGAACCGTCTGAGCTACGGAAAATATCGCGGAGAATGTAAAGACAAAGCACTGCATGCGGAGAATTTAGAATAATACCTGACTTAGCTCTCGTGCCTCTGAAACAATTCCCAACACCTCCATTCTTCCCAAGGACACTTGTTTGGCTTCCTTTAACTCACCGAAAGAATACGCTTTTATCTGCTTGGATATGGATTGCGTCGCAGGAATGCACTTGATAAGAGAAGCGAACTACTATAAGATGAGACCGATCGAGAATGCAAAGACTAAACTAACCATGCGAAAAAACTACTTGATTGAGATCTCGCGCTTCCGAAACGATTCCCAACACCTTCATCTTCTTCAGCTTCCTTCGACACGCCAATGGGATACCCTGGACCTGCTTATATAGAGATTGCACGACGTGTTAGACTCGTGAAAGGGAGCTCCGGTAGCTCTGCGACTAAACGCTGTTCCCGCTGACTAGACGCTGAAGAAGTGCCCCACTAACTAAACGCTGAGGGTGTTTGCCCTCTTGCATGGGGAAGGGAGTAATGCCGTCGCGGTCACCCCCCCACAGAGGCCTTCGACACGCTACGGCCGCGGCTTTAACCCAGAGTTCATGAGGTGATTTCAGTGAGAACGATGGATGCACATGGGCTCAATGAGCAATGATGCGATCGTGTGTGTACGGATTAATGTCAGGCATTGCACGGATTAATGCTCGTAAATGGTGCTGCTTACTGTCTCAGAAGAACGGTACTCTTCCTACCTACTGAATTGGTCCTTTACTCCCTCATTTACTATTAAGGTACCACGGTAGTCAATTAAATCACGGCACTTGCGTATTGACTCTAATGGACTTGAGCTTTTTTTTCTGAAACATCATGTATTTTATCTGCCGTAGTAATTAGAGAAATACAATTTATATCATTCCAAAGTTATTCTCTGGTCAAAAAATTCATGTCATTACCATATGGGTTGCATCAAAGAAAACATGAAGTTGTCGGTCAGTTTATGTACTAGCTTTTTCTTTTCTTTTGACAGACGAGTATCGAAGCAATCTAATCACATAATTAATGCTTGTTTAGGACATTCGATTAAATCTTGGACGTTCTTATTAGATGATGTAAACTCTACGTTTTTGTTAAGAGAATAGGACTCAAAAGCGCATGATTATGCAAATAGCATGTACACGGCTACTCATAATCTACTAAGCCATTCGCACACATTGGTTTGCAATTCATGCATAGCTAAACTATATATTTCCAACAGAAAAACTATTAACTCAAGGAAACCATTATTATAGAAGTCAATTATGGGCTTAGAAGTTGCTCTAGCAATCAAATATCTTATTCATAAAATAACTAAATAACTTCACAATAAAATATCTAATTTATAAAAACTAGTGGTAATAACAATTGGAAAACTTTCTAGCAATGGAAAAACTAGCATTTCCTATCTTTTTCCAATGATCAATATCCAATGAATATTGGAAATTCAGGTGAAGAAATATACGGAAGAAATTTATTGTAGAGGCTTAATTAACAGACTTCTCTAGCAACCTTCAAGTGCTCTTGAATCTACCTTTTAATGCGGCTATTACCAAATTTTGCTTCAAACATAGTGTTTATGTGTATATTTGAGGATCAAAGAGAGAGAGAGAGAGAGAGAGAGAGAGAGAGAGAGAGAGGCTACTGATCCCACCTAGTCACCTAGTAACAATTGCATGTCCTTGCCAAGGACATATATAGGACCCTGCCAAGGACATATATAGGAAACTTCTCCCTGGAATCTTTCGAGTGGAATGAAGGCCATACAAATCGGTACGTTTTGCTTCAGAATATTATTCCATGTAAGCTAGTATATCTTCGAGCAGTTTAAGTCTTTTTACCTCAACTCCATTGTCTATGAGCTAGCGCGAGACGGATTGGAACTTCTGAGAGTTCTATTGGAATCCACTTGTAGATCCGTATCACACTATTCCTGGAACCTTTGAAAAGCTAACGAGTTTAATCCCCAACTCTTCTAACTTGTTAATGGATGTGCCTAAGTTTTGAGGCATGATCGTTTTCAGAGAAGTGCTTCAGGCATCACAAGACGACGATAATGCATTATTTACTATTCGTACACCTTCAATGATTAAGGACGATAGTTGAAACCATATATTTGAGGAGAGATTAAAAACAAGAACTAGGAGAATAGTCCAGTATTAATAAATATAGATATATATTTGAGCCTAGTTCATAATCTATCAAATTAAGTTTTTTTTATTGAATTGATGCTTGGCTCAATATATGTTTATCCTGATTAATTTGATTCATTTATCAGTAATAGATTTCTGGTATGGTATCAGAGTCAACATGAGTTTGGTAACAGGAGTTAAGCTTGCGGTCCACTGACCAGATATTATATTATATATATATATCTATTTTTAGATTGAATTGATGTATGACTCAATATATATTAATCCTAATTAGTTTGACTCAATTATCACTATGAAACATAGGAAGATTAATGTAATCTTTATATAGAACGCTTGTTTCTATATGCAGAAACTTGGTCTGTATGAAAAGTCATAAGCTGAACCAGATAAGAAGTGACAACAAAAGGAAGACATGGCAAAAGCTTAAACTTACTTGGGGAGGTCTGGGAGGCGTTGACTGATCCCTGGAATGAAGCAGTTGAGCAATTCATGAGCTGAAGCTACAGATATAAAGTGTTCAGCCATATCTCTGTGTTGCTTGGGTGTCTGGCTGCTAAAAAGAACACGTTCATCCATAGAATATCAAAGGATATATAGTACACTTCTGCAAAGGGATTGGCAGAGTGTTAGGAATCAGGATCAGAAGAGAAACGAGGACCAAAGAAGTTGATGAAGTGGGGATAGATAGAGCTAAAATGATTATGTCGGATGAAGAAAGATTCAATGAAACAAGAAAAATAAATAGTTTTCTCTAGCCTTCTCCTTCACAAATCACAACCAGCAAGTCACATGCTGCGGTTGAATGGATTGTACCACCTTCATTTCACTCTCTTTCTCTCTGTTGAATCTGTGTATTTTAGTAGCCGTCCATGTCGGCATGATATATATAAGGTTGACTGACTCTCATGTATCAGCGACGCCAAACACCTCTTGCAATGATTGGGAAGGGAAGGAATGGTTGGACTTATAGCTACGTTGACAAGCCACATGCACATAAAGATCCTAATAACTCTGCAGAATCTTCTCTAATGTGGACCACGCATAGGATGTTAGCATTGTTAAATGGTAATTCAGATTCTATTGTGATTCCTACAACCCTTTCATGTAGTGCCTTTACATTTGCAAGATTTCTTGGTGACCTCCAGATTTGATATAACTCTTGAATCCTGGAGTTGTCACTAAAAACGGTAGAAGCAAATAGGAGAATTTGGCTGAAACATGTTCAGTGCAGTGTAGTTGTTAGT